CTTCTGCGGATGGCTTTTCTCTTTTAAAATTAAACGCAGATTTCAGACAATTGGCAGTGTTAGACTTTTACCTAACATGGTTTGTTTATATGTCAGTAGGGATTTCCAGTAGTGTTTCATTAAAGAATGATACTTTTTTTAAAAAAATAGACTGTCCTGACATCCAGAAGCATGTTCCTTAATGTACCTCACCGACAGAGACATTTCACAACCTGAAGCCTCACCCTTGTCCAAATTGATTCAACTCTTGTAGAACTAATAGGTGAGACTTGTTATAAAAATTGTAGATAAGATTACACAGCGCTTTAGCGATGGAGTTATTCTGCTTTATTGAAATGTTGCAAGAAATATTCTAAATGCGTGTGTGGTTTTCTGCTTCAGTAGTCTGAACTTTGGAAAGTGATGCCATGGAATGTATGTGCATTGGTGTAAATCTTTCTTTCTCCACAGTCTCCTTTTCTTATGATGGTCCTGATTCTGGTTCTAGTAGATTTACTTTCCACACGGACATATTAGTTAGTTGGCTGGTGATATTAACATGGACTAAATGGTTGATATAAGCCTAGTTGTGATTATCAGAACAATTAATTCTTACAAGTATAGTTTTTTTAAAAATGTATTCCTAATATTAGTACTTAGAAACTTATTAATTTCATCGGTGATAAGCTGTAGAATGGTTTTGACATCTGGCATCTAGAGTTCATTGCAGAAGCAGAGAACAAGAAGTGGCGAAACACCCTTCTCTATTTGCTAAGTTCTCCATATCGAAGTGGTAAGAATGCCCGTCCAAGTATTTTCATATCTGAAAAATCAGTATGTGAATTGTAAAGTGGGAGGAAAATATTTACCTTTTTTAAAAAAGTTACACATTTAAAACCTGTTTAAAATAATGTTAACTTGTAAACTGTTCTAAATATGTGGCTAAATATCTCATACGCAATAAGTGATAATTATTTACAAAGTATTTGTGGACATATGCCCAGAAGTTTATATATTAAAGTGAAACTTTTTTTTAAAAGGGCAAGACAACATAAAGCCCATCAAAATGTATAAAGAAGTCAATTCTGCTTGAGTTAAAAAAAATTGTGGTAGTTTTAGAGCATAAAAAGGCAAAGAGAAATATGCAGTCAGATCTCCCTATATAAGGAATTTTGATTGTGTTAGAGCTACAATTGAAAAATCCATATACCGTATTTCATAGAAGATAACTTTCCTGTAAGATAGAAGCTGGATTAGAAGCCTGCCAAGAGAACATTCACTTCAGGGCAGCTTTCGTTAACCTGGTGCCCCCTAAAAATGGATGAAATTTCCAAGAAGCCCTTTCTCCAACTTCAAGAGTAATCAGGAATGAGCCCAATACATCAAGCTACATAGGACGGGGGAAATAAACACAATACGCCCACCCCAAAAAGAACTAGTAGACCAGAGGTGGGTTCCTACCAGTTTGCACCTGTTCGGTAGAACCGGTTCGTCAAATCTACCGAACCGGTTAGAAGAGGNTATATATATATATATATATATATATATATATATATATATATATATATATATATATAAACTAATTACTAAAATTAGTACGTGTATAATTGATACAATTGAGAGCCATCTATTTGAAGATGGAGAAGAATATCTTGCTTTTAGACATGATAATAGCTGTCTAGTAAGGTGAGGTATGAGCTATTTTTACATCATCAGAAATTTAATTTCTTACCTGGTATAAATGCAAAGACAAGGAGTACAAGGAGCAAATAAAAGACCTTCATGTTGGGATTAGTTCTGGGCCAAATCTTACTTGTGGGGCAGAAACCAGATCTCAGCCTCCCTTGTGGCTCCTTGAAAAGCACCCCCCCTTCCTAGCTCATCTCATTTGGGCCAACAGGGTATGAAATGGCTTCGGGGGTGAGGGCTTTGGGAAGTAGCTAACAAGGCTTCCCCCCACCCTCCGGACTAGCCCAGCATGGTGTTAAATGGCTTCAGAGGTGGAGAGTTTTGGGAAGCAGCTAGCAAGGCTCACACACACACACACACCCCGCACTCTCCCAGCATGGTGTTAAATGGCTTCGGAGGTGGAGAGATTTGGGAAGCAGCCAGCAAGGCTTCCCAGCCCCCCACCCCCCTTACGCTAGCCCAGGGCAACTTACAATCAAGCCGGCGAGGAGCAGGAGCAGAAAGCAGAAATCCAGAGAGCAGCCAAAGGTTCAGCTTCTCACAGGAGGTAAGAGGAGCTGAATTAACTTTCTGTTTCTGTGTGCATGCGCAGGTGCCAATCATCCTCCCAGTGGGTGGTATGTCAGGTGACATGGTTCCATGTGCCCCCTGTGGCACGCATGCCATAGGTTCACCATCACTGCTCTAGGGTTGTTGTTTTTTTTTACTGGGGGGAGAGGTTGGCAATGCCTGGGGATTTCTGGGAATTTCTCCTCTGTGTTAGAGGCACTAAAATAACCAAGGTGATATAAGGTCTCTTGCTGCAGCAGGAGATTGGACTAGATGACCTGTGAGATCCCAGCCCTGGATTGCTATATTGTTTAAAAGCATCCTCTGAAGCAAACCTCTAGGGCCAGGTTTTTGTCCTTCCTTCCTCTCCTTTTTCACTCTCCCTCCCTCTATCCGTCCATCCATATCACATTCACTTTCTCTTCCCTTTTTCTCCCTCCCCTCCCTCCCTTCCACTATTGATTAGCTTAGCCTGAGCAAGGATAGCTAGCTGTACTTTCAATAAGCTGTCAAATCCATGCCAGAGGTCTGCAAACTTGGCAACTTTAAGACTTGTGGAGTTCAACTCCCAGAATTCTCCAGCCAGCAGAGCTTAATTCTGGGAATTGAAGTCTACAAGTTTTAAAGTTGCTACGTTTGCAGATCTCTGCACCATGCACTTGGGGATCCCTACATGGTGAGGATTTCTTTCACTCTCTCTTGAAGCCCCCCTGCTTTTATTCACAGGAGGCTGCAGGGAGACTTGCTAGCCCCCCCCCACGCTATTCTGGGAGCCAAAATGGGTGCTGAGCCCTCCACCCCCATAGTCTATTTTGGGCCTAGCAAGCCTCCCTGTAGGCTGCTGGGAACCAAAATGGGCCTACCCCCCTGCACTCTATTTTGGGCCTAACAGGCCTCCCTGAAGCCTGCTGGGAGAGAAAATGGTCCCCCGCTCTATTTTGGACTTTACAGACATCCCTAAAGCCTGCTGAAAGCCAAAACAAGGCTGGTGGGGATCCTGGAAGGGGCGGGGGAAGGTAAGGTTGCGAGCCCAGTGGGGATGGGGGGCGGGTGCAGCAAACTCCATGGGGTGGGCTAGAGAGACTTACCAGTAGGCAGCAGGAGGAGTTTGCAAGTTTAATAACATTTATATGCCGCCCAATCCCGTAGGACTCCGGGCGGCTTACAGTACAGAAATAAATCAAAAAAATAAAAAAACAGAGAGAAAAAAAAAGATAGATTTAAAAACAGCACACCATGCATTCCATTCTAAATGGGGCTGGACCGTATTTTGGAGTCAACAGCCCCAGGCCTGCCAGAACAGCCAGGTTTTAATGGCTTTCCGGAAGGCTGAGAGAGTGGGAAGGGTCTGGATCTCTGCGGGTAGATCATTCCACAGGGCTGGGGCAGCTACAGAAAAAGACCTCCCCCAAGTAGCCACCAACCAGCATTGCCCAGTTGACGGTACCCGAAGGAGGCCCAGCCTCCTTCGCTGAGGAGGCAGCTCAGTTGCGGCGCAGAGCAGGCACTACATGGCAGCTTAGGCAGGGAGGTGAGGAGTGACTGGGTGGGGCAGGTGGGCAGGGCATTTGCACTTAAAATGGTCTGCACATGAGCACAACGGTAAAAAAAGGGAAAAATACATTTTTCCATGAAGATTGTTCTGCGCATGTACAGAACAGAAAACCAAGATGGCATCATACCAGTACGGTGATGTGTCTGCTGGAGTTACTACCTATTCGCCCATACCCGACCAAATAGGTGGGAACCCACCTCTGCAGTGCAGCTTATATTGCAGTAATGTGACTTGAATGACCTGTGGGTCAGTCAGTCAAATGGTGCGTATTGTTGCATTCTAGACCTATTGCAGCTTCCAAATGGCTTTCAAGGGCAGCCTCGTGTAGACCATGTTGAAGGAATCCAAATGGGAGATCACTAAGACATAGGTGGCAGTGAGTCTTTGTTTCAGAATGACTCTCTATTTACTTGCTCTAGGAAGTGACTCTGCAGGCTATTGGCAGGATTCAAAGGATCTGGTTCAAAACAAGAGTTTTTTTTTTATTAATTTGATTAATGTAGTGTGCTAATTCATAAAATAATATTACACTTTAGTGCCATAAATAAAACCCCAAGTAAATTATGAGGTGTTGACCATGGCTTACAGCTGAATATATTGCCATAATTTATTAAACCATGGTTAAGCAAACCAAATTATGGGTATAATTTATAACCATGGTTTATTATTTGGCATTAAGGATGAATCAGGTCACTTAATCTTAGTAACTAACCAGAGTTAAAGTGGACTAATGTTAAATATAAGTTATCAAGACCCAAGCAAAGTTTTTCATAATTGAAAAGCTGTTTATTACTGAAAGGATAAAGTAAGTGCCTGCTTTTTGCAGCATGAGAAAAGAGACAGGAGGAAGAATAAGCTACTTAAAATTAATGATTTTTTTCTTAATGTTTGCATTTTATTAAATTTAAAATATTCTATTGTCTGAACAAAATTGTTGAAACGATGGGCCTCTCAAAGATGCAGCGAGGGGAAGCGCTTAACACCTGTATCATAATGCCATCACACAAATGATGCAATTTATGTACTTGCATTAGAAGTCAAAACATAACATAGAATTATATTATTATTTTGTGACTTGTGTTGTCATGATGCTCATATTATTTTGATATCATAATGGCTCATAAGAGATATTATATTTGAACCACATGCCTTATAGTTGGAAACGTTTTTGTCTGTTCAGCTACTTCCAAGAGATATTTGGAAAATATATGTTGTGTTGACACCTTACATCATTCTGTAATAGTGGGACATCTCCAATATCTACTACAATGAAGTAGCAGTAGTAGATTGCAAGTAGCAATGAAGTTTTCAAATAACTTTGAAAATAAAATTGGTTTACAATTCTATCAATTAAAATCCTTCCTTGATGATGACCTTGATGATGACCCTCTACTGATTAAACCATCAGCTGGTGTTTAGGAGATCAAAACTAATTAGAACCCAAGTACTTTGTGGCTCATTTCAGAAAGTACACAATAAACAAACAAGTGTGTGTGTGTGTCTCTGTGTGTCTGTATCTGTGTGTGTTACCTCCTTGAAGCCGTGCCTTTTCTTCTCTCTTGTAAATACCAAACAATGATGATAAGGACAATTCGGTAAGCTCTGTCAACTTTCTCATTACATCTTCAGTTGCCCATTCAGGTAATGTATAATTGTGAATAGACTGCAATTTTAAAGAGTATGATATTAAGTCCTTTGTCTGTTAGATGTTTGGATGTTTGGTTTGGTTCCCTTCACTTCAGACTTTACTAGTTATTCAAATATGTATTAAACATGGATAGTTTTGCATATTACGCAAGGCTATTTTTTAAATCATGTTTTAACAAACAACAAATGGCTTGGCCTCCATAATAGCATGTTAAGTTATAGACTATAGTTTAAAACCACAACTGCTGGATATTGCATTGTTACACTTTGTCCAAACAAAACCAGCCACATTTTAGTGTAATGTGTTACTACATCAGGATCAGGATCAATCTCATATTTAGAAGGAACCTCCATTATTTTCAGGTAGTTGTTGACTTACAACAGTTCTTTTAACAACCCTTAGAACGGTATTGAGAAAAATGAGTTATGATTATTTTTAACACGACTGTTACAGCATCCCTATGATCAAGGTATCAAAATTCAGATAATTGGCAACTGATTTATACCTATGACAATTACAGTGTCACCAATCTTTTGACAGGAAAAGTCAGTGAGAAAGCCAAATTTACTTACATCTATGATACTAATTTAACACCTGCAATGATTCACTTGACCACTGTGACAAGAATGGTCATAAAAGGAGGCAATGCTCACTTAACAACTTTTTCGCTTAACAACATACATTTTGGGCAGTTGTGGTTGCAACTTGAAGACTATCTGTATTATGGAGTCTAAAACAAAACAGGATGTTTCTGCAACTAGTATAGTAAAGGTTCCACTTTCACATTAAGTGCTAGTTGTTCCTTACTCTAGGGGGCAGTGCTCATCCCGTTTTCAAAACCGAAGAGCCAGCGCTGTCATTGTAATTACAGCTAAAGTCTGAAATGCTCTATTTAGTCAAAAAACATAGATGCCTGGTTTCCACAGATCACATTGTCACCTGATTATTTTTTAAAATTTCTCCTGTCTCCTGTAGCTTTGGAGTTTGTTTTCTATTTTTGACCAAATGCCAGCAGCCCCCTAATAGGAAATTCTAGGGTTCATTTCAGTGGTGGGTTCTGGATTCCGGTTGGAACCACCCCAGAGTCACCCACATGCACGTGTGTGGTGCGCGCACATATGTGCACGTTGTAGCGTCGAATGACACTTCCGCAAGCCTCCTCAATACTCCAACTGCTCCGCGGAGCGTTGTGCAGGCGCAGTACGTTCCATGAGCATGCATAGAAGTGCCAAAAGTTTAAAGCACAAGTAAGGAGCGCGGGTGGGTGGGTAGGCCTTCCGGAGCACCGTACCAGAATGGTACCCGGTGCCCCGGGCACGATCCGGTATGTCCGTACCGGGTTGTACCGCCTGCAACCCATCACTGCTTTATTTCCTAATTCAATAACTTCACTCACTAAACAAACTGTAGCTGTTGCAAGTTAAATTGTTAATAAATGCTCTATCTTTGGCAATGGGGTTTGAGGAACTCTTTTTCCTTTCCAATGTAATTTTTCAGGCATAAAACATCATTGCAAAAAACAGGGAAAACTTTTTTTCAGTTGAAATACTATTGCATGATTAATTGTATGAATGAGCATTTGGGAATCTCTACTTCTTTCTTGTCACAATTAGAAAATTCTGATCTTAATGCAGAATAAGCAACTATGGTTCATGGTGCGATCTATGTTATTAAATTCAATTTAATAGCATTAGCCGATTTGATCCCCTTCAATCAAAAACAAAACACTGCTTGGCTGTAGGCAAACAGAGTAATGAACTGCAATTAATACCTACCCTTCCAATCCATTTTCCAAATAAAATAATTGTTAAGCTCTTATACTTTATCAGCATATTCTATAATTTCCTAATCCACTGTGCTTGATCTTACTACTGTTTCCTATATACATTTAAATCTTATTTAATAATTGAAAATAAATTTAGTTCTATCTTTTGAGACAGCAAAAAAAGTAGCTACAATATTAATTTATTTAAAAAACATACCTCACAAAATAGTGTATCTTGTACATGCCATATTTTAAAATTCATGGGATTCTTGAGAACAGAAGCATTATATCCTGAATAGTAAGCTATTGTTTTTATGAACTCCTGAAAAGAGATAAGAATAACATCCTTAAAAGGCAAAGCAACACACCACAATACATGCTCAGTTGTTATGATGTATAGGACTACAACAAGATTGTATACTGTACAAGTATGTTCAAACTAGATTATAGTTCTTAGAACTTACTTACTTACTTACTTACTTACTTACTTACTTACTTACTTACTTA